AGGTGGGTCATAGAGGATCTTGCTTTGATTTATGTCAGAGAGTGTTTGCCTGTGTTTTCCTCTAGGAGTTTTATAGTTTCAGGTCTTACATTTAGATCTTTAGTCCATTTTGAGTTTATTTTTGTGTATGGTGTTAGAAAGTGTTCTAGTTTCATTTTTTTGCAAGTGGTTGACCAGTCTTTTAATGCTCAGGACTGTGTTCCTGCTTTGCTGGAGAATTAGCATGGTATGTCTTACTTTGGAACTTGTTGGGTGTTGGGTGGAGCTTGGTTTCAATGTGGGTATGGAGGCTCTGGTCTATTAATGTTCCCTGGAATCAACAGTTCTCTGATGTTCTCAAGTTTTGGAGATAAGCCTCCTGCCTCTGGCTTTCAGTCTTATTCTTACAGTAGCCTGAACACTTCTCCATCCATACAGCACTGATGATAAAACATCTGGGTTAATGGTGAAACAGTTCTCCACAGTGAGGGACACCCAGAGAGGTTCACAGAGTTACACGGAGAAGAGAAGAGGGAGGAGGGAGATAGAGATGACCAGGAGGAGAAGAGGGGGAGTGAAAAGGGGAGAGAGCAGTCTATCCAGTAATCAGTTCCCTAAGCATTCTCCACAGCCCAGAATACCCTGAGAGATTCACAGAGTGAAGCAGAGAAGGGAAGGGGGCGGGAGGAGGTAGAGGTGACCTGGGGGGGAGAAGGGAGAGTCAAAGGGGAGAGAGCAATCAAGCCAGTGATCACACCCCTAAGAGAAAGTGGATACTGAACATTAGATTCTTAAAGGTACAAAGTTGGTAACAAATACCAAAAAGCAAAGATTAAAAATCTAGAGTAGAGGTTAGACTCTCAAAAATACAATATTAAAAATACAAAACAAAATCAATCACAAAAAAATCATAAAAATATATATATATATGAAATTTGCTTTACAAATAGGGTCTTTTTTTGCAAGGTAATAGCAGGTTATAAAAATGAAAATTAGAGGACTAATACAGAACTTAAAAATAAAAAAATTAAAAAGTGATAATAATAAAAATATATCTAGGAATTTCTCTGGAGCTGTTTGGGCAGTGTGGGGTCGGCTCAGTTTCAGATAGCTCCTTGCTCCGCCTTGAGAAGACTCAGGTCTCTAGGCCCCCTCGATGCTTAGTCAGTGTTAACTACAGGGTTTTAGTCTGTTGCACCTGTCACTTCCAGAGTGGTTCCCTGTTCTTTGTTTATTTTGGCCTCTTCTGCAAGTCTCTTCAGTGTCTAATTTCCACCCTGACACAAGGGGGCAAAGATGGTCACTTACTGAGGCTCACGTGTTCACTTGTGTTGTGGGGAGGGAGCGACACTGCAAACAAATATCACTGACACGTGCGGGGAGTGCTCACAGTGCATGGACCACACTGGGCTTGCCCCTGCTCGCGGTGTGTGTGGTTTCCTGGTCTGCACTGCTCAGGCTCCAGGGTGCTCTGCAGGGGCGCTGTCCAAAGCGAGCCCTGTGTTTCGTGCATTTCCTAGGTCTGAGCAGCTCAGGTTCAGGTTCTCGGGTACTCCATGGGGGCATAGACTTGGTTGGGCCTGCGTTTTGTGCCCTTCCCAGGTCCGAGCAGCTCAGGCACCAGCTGCGTGGCCAGCGCACTGTCCCCGGTGGGCCCTGCGTCTTACTCACCTTCCGGGTCCCAGCCCCTCGGTTCCCCGGGTGCTCTGCAGGAGCGCCATCCCAGGTGTGCCGTGTGTCCCCTGGGGAGCTGACCTCAGGCTGCGACCCTCCTGGCAGGTGTCAACCATCCAGGAGCCCAGGAACACTTGGTTAGCAACTGGGAGCCTGCTCACAGTTTGGTGGAGGACGCTGGTCTCTGGGGCTGAGATTGGAGTAGGCCCTTGCCTTCCGGCTCTGGCTGTTCCCCGCCTGCCTCTCTGCCTCCTGCGGCGGGGGAGGGGCCTGTATGCTGCCGGCCAGCTCTCCTTTGGTATTCACTCAATCCTTTGCTCTGTGAGCTGATCAGGCTGTGCATTAGAGCCTTTCTCAGGAAAGTTATCTCAGGTTAGCTCCCTCAGATTGTCCTCGGCATTCAGGCCCGGTCCTTACCCTAAGCACACACACCTCCCTGTCCAGCCCCTGCTTGCTGGTGGCCAACGTGAGCGTTTGGGCTACTTCTCAGCTGGCAGTTGCAGTTAGGCGCGTATTCTGTGGGGTTTTTTTTTTTTCCCTCCCGGTTATGTTGCCCTCTGAGTTTCCAAAACTCCCCACAGACCCACCTGTGAGAGGGTTTCCTACAGTTTAGAAATTTCTCCTCCTTCGCAACTCCCTCCCCAGGACAGGTCTCCATCCCTAATTCTTTTGTCTCTCTTTCATTTATATTTTGCCGTACCTCCTTTCGAAGAGAATGGACTGCCTTTCTGGGTGCCTGGTGTCCTCCGCTAGCATTCAGAAGTTGTTTTGTGGAAGTTGCTCAGAGTTCAAATGATCTTTCAATGAATTTGTGGGGGAGAAAGTGGTCTCCCTGTCCTATTCTTCCATCATCTTGGGAACGCCCCCCCAAAAAATAATAATTTACACTCAAGAAGACATGAAGAAAATTCTCAGTATTCTCAGAACTGCTGGCATATTAAAGAGAGAGTGTTTATTTACCCAACTCTTCTCTAATTGGAGAAAGATTGGACTGTGTAACTAATGGGATAAAAATCTCACCAGTGCAGGAGAAAATACTTTTGGTCAGCCCATCAGAAAGATCACTGAGCCTGGTAACGTGCCTGCCTTCCCCCTCGACCTGCACATTCCCCCCAAGCTGCTCCTCCTTTTTTTTTTTTTATTAACATGGACCAGTTTTAAAGTTTTTATTGAATTTGTTGCTTCCATTTTACGTTCTGAGTTTTTGGAGGCAAGGGTAAGGGATCTTAGTTTCCTTAGGTCCCTGACCAAGGATTAAACTCGAAGCCCTTGCATTGAAAGGCAAAGTCTTAACTGCACTGCCAGGGAAGTCCCAGCTCCTTTTTATAGCTTGCTGTCTTCTTCATAACCTCACATACAAGCTCTCAGAATCTCCAAATGTCTCTCTGTCTTGTGTGTGGGACAGTGAGGCTTTATCAGTGAGCATAGGAGAGACGGTGGTTCTGTAACAAGTAGCCCCTACACCTCAGTGGTTTAAAGGCAGAAGTTAATTTTGTTCTCACGTCATGTGTTCATCGGGATTGTCAGGGCAGAATGCCGTGGTCCACACCATGCTAATCTAGGGACCCAGGGTGATAGGGGCTCCAGCATTTGCTGGAGAAGGTAAGTCAGTAAAGGCTCTTAAAGGTTCTCTGTGGAAGGGATGTGCTTCCTTCTGCTCACATGTCTTTGTCTAAAACAAGTCAAGTCAGCGTGCCTAACTCCAGGTAGGTAGCAAAGCCCAGTTCTCCTGTGAGCCTAGAGGTGGAGGAAGGCTGAGTATGGCTTGCAGACAGTGGGGCCTCCTACCACAGTGAGGATGAGGCAAAGAAAATAGGGGAGACCGCTGATTAATGTGCTAAAGTCGTTTTAAAGCTAAAAATAGAAATGAAAGTTAAGGCAGTGGTGGGGTCATGCTAATAGACTCAGCATCAAAAATAATTAGCCAAGAATTTTTTCCCAGATGTTTGTTTTTACTGTGAAGAAGGATCTGTTACCGAACCAGGTCCACTTGCTCAATGTGCAGCAAGCCGGACACTGAGTTCCTGTGATCTACAATTTATTCACCAGGTAGCCAAGCGAGGAGATGGGAGCACAAGTCTCCATCTGCCTCTCAAAAGTGAGGGATGTTGGGGTCTTCATGGGATAAGCACAATGATCTTAGGTGTGGGGAGAGGTTATTAGAGGAAGGGGGAAAGGTGAGGTGATCAGTGTTCTATGCAGGTGTGTCTGGGTTATAGACTTCAGTGTGTTCAAAATTGAGGTGCTCAACTTGATCTGAGGGTTGAGTTTTCTGCACCTGACCCCGAAAGGCCCTTCCTTGGGCCCTGTGCAGGCCCAGTTGACGGCTGGTGATCCTAGCCAGCCTTAGCCACCTCTCACAGGGCAGGAGCTGACACTATGTACATGTAGAACAGCTGGGCTATGAGAAGCTGGGAGGTATGCAGTTAAAGAGAGGAAAAGGGGAAGAATGAATAAAGCGAGCCTACTCCGTTAAGGCAGGTGACCAGCAGAGGGGTTTTAACAAGCCAGTCCATTGCTCTGCAAGACAGCTGCATCCTGTACAGGCCCCGCCCTGTGGAGCCAGAGCCCAGAACCGCTTTTCGAGATGCTGCCTGGCTAGGATGGCCTGAGATTGAATAGTGACTGCTGTCCTTAGCCAGATTGACAAGAGAGTTTCCTTAAAGTCTCAAACTTCTGGTTAATTCCATGGATTGGTAACTATAACCAGGGGGTATATTGATGTAAAGACTCACATATCTTGATGGCATTTGCAGTATCATTATTTTCTACTGGGAATCATGAATCCCCATCTCCATCATTTCTAGATTTCTGATGTTCCTTACAGAAATTTGTCCCTTTATGCCTTTTTTCCTTCGTTCCTTCCTTTCTCCCTTTCCTTCCCCTCCATCCCCCTCTTCCTCCCTTGCCCTCATGGCTTGTGGGATCTTAATTCCTCAACCAGAGATTGAACCCCCAGCCACAGCAGTGAGAGCTCCAAGTTCTGAGTCCTGAGAATTATTTAAATATGACTTTTTACCCTCTAAAATCCTTGCTCGGCAGTTATCCTTTTCTAAACCCCTCACTATGCGGAGCTTCCCACAGACACTGCATGAGATACAGATGTTGGTACTCCTCTTTTTTCTTAGTTTCTCATCAATCCTATCTGAAACTTTGAAACCTTAAATTTATTTTCTCAATTTTTCTTCTGTTTGCTGTTAATTAGGCTTTTGTGCAACAAGCATATGTTATTGTTTGTTACCTAGGCATCTGGGCCAGTTTCACAGCTTTTATAAACATGACTCGTCTCTAGGTGGATGGATACTTAAGGGACAGATGACCTTAATAATTTTTTTTTTCCTTTTCAGACCAAAACTAAAGACCAAAACCATCTTGATAAAGATGTGGATATACAAGAATTTAACTTAGAAAAGGTAGGTGTTTTGAAATTATTTTTTCACCTTTTAATACCAGAAATGCTTGTGTTTCTATGTTGTCCAATGGTCAGGGAATGGTGACTCAGGGCACACTGCATTTACTTGGTTGAACATTGTGCAGATGTTTAAAACATGCTGGTTTTATGATTACAGTGTCCATGATATAGTGGTAGGAAAAGCAGGGATGTGTGTGTTCTGTGTTTGTAACTTGGTTTTTTAAAAATGTGTGTGTGGGGGGGTGGTCCTAAGATGTTGGAGGAATAGAATGGGGTGATCAATTTCTCCCCCACAAATTCATCGAAAGATCATTTGAACGCTGAGCAAATACTACAAAACAACTTCTGAATGCTGGCGGAGGACACCAGGCACCCAGAAAGGCAGCCCATTGCCTTCAAAAGGAGGTAGAACAAAAGATAAAAGATAAAAAGAGAGACTAAATAGCTAGGGACAGAGACCCGTCCTGGGGAGGCAGTCATAAAAGAGGAGACATTTCCAGACACCAGTAAACCCTCTCACCGCGGGTCTGTAGGGAGTTTTGGAATCTCAGAGGGCAACATAACCGGGAGGAAAAATAAATAAATAAAACCCGAACAGATTATGTGCCTAACCACAACTCCCAGCGGAGAAGTAGCCCAGACGCTCCTGTCCGCCACCAGCAAGCAGGGGCTGAATAGGGAGGCGCCAGCTGCATTGCTGGCCTGAATGCCCTAAGGGCAATCTGAGGTAGCTAACATGAGACAGCAGCCCAAACTGGGATAGCCAGAGAGGAAAAAAAGAGGAAAGTCAGAGAGAGGGGACTTTCCTGCGAAAAGCTCTAACCTGAGGCACTGCAGGCCCACTCACAAAACAAAGGACTGAGCCAATACCAGAGGAGAGCTAGCAGGCTGCGGACCGGCCCATGCCCCTCTGGAGGCAGGGAGGCAGGCAGCCACAGCCAGGGCCGGAAGGAGAGGGGCAAACTCGGCCCCAGAGGCGGCATCCTCTACCAAGCTGTGAGCAGGCTCCCAGTTGCTAGCCAAGTCTTCCTGGGCTCCTGGACGGTTGACATCCGTCAGGAGGGTCGCAGCCAGAGATCAGGTCCCCAGAGGAGACACACGGCACACCTGAGGCGGCGCTCCAGAGCGGCTGGGATGGGAAGGCGATAAGACGTACTCCCTACCTGGGGAGAGTGCGCTCCCAAGCACCTGGTCGCCTGAGCTGCTCCCACCCGGGAAGAGCACAAAGCGCAGGCCCAGCCGAGTCTGTGCCTTGTGGAGTGCCCGAGAACCTGGACCTGAGCGGCTTAGGCCTGGGAAGTGCACGCAACCCAGGGCCCACCTCAGACAGTTCCCGGCAGAGCAACCTGGAGCCTGAGCAGTGCAGACGGGGAGAGCACACGCGCCAAGAGCGGGGCAAATCCAGTGTGGCTGAGACAATGCAAGCACTCCCCACAGACGCCAGTGATGTTTGTTTGCAGAGTTCCTCCCTCCCCACAGCACAACTGAACAAGCGAGCCTAAAAAAGTGACCACCTTCGCCCCTTGTGTCAGGGCAGAAATTAGACACTGAAGAGACCTGCAAACAGAGGAAGCCAAAATAAACAGAGGGAACCGCTTTGGAAGTGGCAGGTGCAACAGATTAAAACCCTGCAGTTAGCACCAACTACATACGAAGGAGCCTATAGATCTTGAGAAGTATAAGCCGGATCAAGGAACTATCTTAAAATGAACTGACCCCACACTGTCTGCGACAGCTCCAGAGAAAGTCCTAGATATATTTTTCTATTATCACTTTTTAATTTTTTTTTAACTTTTAACTTCTTTATTACTCCTTTAATTTTCATTTTTAAAACCTACTATTACCTTGCCAAAAAAAGACCCTATTTTTAAAGCAAATTTTATATATTTTTTTATAACTTGTGATAAATTTTTTTTTAATATTTTTCAGAGTCTAACCTCTACTCTAGATTTTTAACCTTTGCTTTTTCATATTTGTTATCAATTCTGTACCTTTAAGAATCCAATCTTAAGTACCCATTTTTACTTAGGAGTGTGATTACTGGCTTGAGTGCCCTCTCCCCTTTCGACACTCCTTTTTCTCTCCAAGGTCACCTCTATCTCCTCCCTCCCCCTTCGCTTCTCTACTTAACTCTTGTGAATCTCTTTGGGTGTCCCAGGCTGTTGAGAACACTTAGGGAACTGATCACAGGCTAGCTTGGTCTCTCTCCTTTTGACTCCCCCTCTTCTCCTCCTGGTCACCTCTATCTCCTGCCTCCTTCTTCTTCACCCTCTCTGGGTGTCCCCCACTATGGAGAATCTTTTCACCATTAACCTTGATGTTTTATCATATGGTGCTATATGGATGGAGACGTCTTGAGGCTACTATAAGAATAAGACTGAAAGCCAGAGGCAGGAGGCCTAAATCCAAAACTTGAGAACACCATAAAACTCCTGACTCCAGGGAACATTAATCGACAAGAGCTCATCCAAAAGCCTCCATACCTACACTAAAACCAAGCTCCACCCAAAAGGCAACAAGTTTCAGAGCAAGACTTACCAAGCTAATTCTCCAATAACGCAGGTACATAACTCTGAGCACAAAAATACAGGTGGCCAAAAGTCACACCAAACCCTTAGACATCTCAGAACTCACTACTGGACACTTCATTGCACTCTAGAGAGAAGAGATCCAGCTCCACCCACCAGAACACCGACGCAGGCTTCCCTAACCAGGAAACCTTGACAAGCCACTCGTCCAACCCCACCCACAGCGAGGAACCTCCACAATAAAGAGGAACCACAAACTGCCAGAATACAGAAAGGCCACCCCAAACACAGCAACCTAAACAAGATGAAAAGGCAGAGAAATATTCAGCAGGTAAAGGAACATGATAAAAGCCCACCAAACCAAACAAAAGAGGAGGAGATAGGGAGTCTACCTGAAAAAGAGTTCAGAATAATAGTAGTAAAAGTGATCCAAAATCTTGAAAACAAAATGGTGTTACAGATAAATAGTCTGGAGACAAGGATTGAGAAGATGCAAGAAAAATTTAACAAGGACCTAGAAGAAATAAAAAAGTCAATCAGTCATGAATAATACAATAACTGAAATCAAAAGCACTCTGGAGGGAACCAGCAGTAGAGTAACTGAGGCAGAAGATAGGATAAGTGAGGTGGAAGATAGAATGGTGGAAATAAATGAAGCAGAGAGGAAAAAAGAAAAAAGAATTAAAAGAAAGGAGGACAATCTCAGAGAAGTCTGGGACAATGTTGAGTGCCCCAACTTTCAAATCATAGGAGTCCTAGAAGAAGACAAAAAGAAACACTGTGAGAAAATACTTGAGGAGATAATAGTTGAAGACTTCCCTAAAATGGGGAATGAAATAGCCTCCCAAGTCCAAGAAACCCAGAGAGTCCCAAACAGGATAAACCCAAGGTGAAACACCCCAAGACACGTATTAATCAAATTAGCAAAGATCAAACACAAAGAACAAATATTAAAAACAGCAAGGGAAAAGCAACAAATAACACACAAGGGGATTCCCATAAGGATAACAGCTGATCTTTCAATAGAAACTCTTCAGGCCAGAAGGAAATGGCACGACATAATTAAAATAATGAAAGAGAATAACCTACAACCCAGATTACTGTACCCAGCAAGGATCTCGTTCAGATGTGAAGGAGAAATCAAAAGCTTTACAGACAAGCAAAAGCTGAGAGAATTCAGCACCACCAAACCAGCTCTTCAACAAATGCTAAAGGATCTTCTCTAGACAGGAAACACAGAAAGGTTATATGAATGCAACCCCCCCCCCAAAAAAAAACAAAGTAAATGGCAACGGGACCATACCTATCAATAGTTACCTTAAATGTAAATGGGTTGAATGCCCCAACCAAAAGACAAAGACTGGCTGAATGGATACAAAAGCAAGACCCCTATATATGCTGTCTACAAGAGACCCACCTCAAAACAAGGGACAGATACAGACTGAAAAAGAAGGGCTGGAAAAAGATATTCCATGCAAATAGAGACAAAGAAAGCAGGAGTAGTAATACTCATATGAGATAAAATAGACTTTAAAATAAAGGCTGTGAAAAGAGACAAAGAAGGACACTACATAATGATCAAAGGATCAATCCAAGAAGAAGATACAACGTTTATAAACATATGTGTACCCAACATAGGAGCACTGCAATATGTAAGGCAAATGCTAACAAGTATGACTGAAATTAACAATAACACAATAATAGTGGGAGACTTTTAATACCCCACTCACACCTATGGACAGATCAACTAAACAGAAAATTAACAAGGAAACACAAACTTTAAATGACACAGTGGACCAGCTAGACCTAATTGATATCTATAGGACATTTCACCCTAAAACAGTCAATTTCACCTTTTTCTCAAGTGCACACGGAACCTTCTCCAGAAGAGATCACATCCTGGGCCATAAATCTAGCCTTGGTAAATTAAAAAAAATTGAAATCATTTCACTCATCTTTTCTGACCACAATGCAGTAAGATTAGATGTCAACTACAGAAAAAAAATTATTAAAAATATAAACATATGGAGGCTAAACAGCACACTTCTGAATAACCAACAAATCACAGAAGAAATCAAAATATGCATAGAAACAAATGAAAATGAAAACACAACAACCCAAAACCTATGGGACACTGTAAAAGCAGTGCTAAGGGGAAAGTTCATAGCAATACAGGCTTACCTCAAGAAACAAGAAAAAAGTCAAATAAATAACCTAACTCTACACCTAAAGCAACTTGAAAAGGAAGAAATGAAGCACCCCAGGGTTAGTAGAAGGAAAGAAATCTTAAAAATTAGGGCAGAAATAAATGCAAAAGAAACAAAAGAGACCATGGCAAAAATCTACAAAGCCAAAAGCTGGTTCTTTGAGAAGATAAATAAAATTGACAAACCATTAGCCAGACTCATCAAGAAACAAAGGGAGAAGAACCAAATCAACAAAATTAGATATGAAAATGGAAAGGTCACAACAG